TGCAGCTGTGCAGCCCCTGTGCCACACGACCTTGTTATCGTTATTTAAATTACAGTAACTGACAAATGACACTTGTTTTTTAATGGCTAAAATATTTTGATAAATGTAACCTTGCTGACAAGATAAAATTATTATAAAAAACTGATTTATTTAGTTAAAGTGTACAAAATAAGGATGATGCATTTAAGAATACATTTAATACCTAACAGCAAATAAATATTTTGTCATCTTTTGATATTCTGCTATAAGTTTACTTATGGTTTGTTGTGATGTAAAACCATGCTTGAATAAATAAAATAAAAAATAAACTTCTTTGTGTGTGTGTGTGTTAAACCTTCTGGAAGATCACTTTACTCTTCAGTGCGAGTTCCTGTTGCGTGGGGTTGGATGTGTAAATGGCTGATCGATACTGTGTACCACGGTCATTATGCTGTTTCATGCCTACATAAAACACACATACAGAGCAAAAAAAAAAAAAAAACACAAAAGCATAAATACAATCCCATAAGACCTAACATCATTTGCATGTAATCATCATTCTGCATCTTAAATTTACGAATCTGAAAAACCACGAAGATCACAGCAGATTTGGGTTTTCTTTAGGGGAGCTCAGCATCATTTAGGTGCATTTTCTTCTTTTTTCCATGTGGCACTGACAACATTTTCATCAGCTTTACATCAGTGGGCTTGGAAGAAGCCCAAGTCAAGTGTACCTTGATTAGAAAGCTAAACGGCTGCCGTCACCTCTTAAGCTGTTCACATGCTACAATCCTGAGCAGCTCTGGCATCAATGAAGGCATCAGTGGCAAGCCTCTCTGTTATTATCTCTCACACTTCATCGCCCCAAGGCTTTGTTTCTTGTTTTTGCTGGAGAGAGTCATTCTGTTCCTCATCTCTCACTGTAAATCCTTGTGTTTCTGAGTGTTTGGCCTTTTGTTATGAGCTGCAGCCAGCGCAGCCTCAAACAGACGTGTCCTTCAGCACCATCCGATTAGCTTGCTCTTCTTCTACATGTCACAATCAGTGACTTGATAAACTACTGCAAACTTTATTACATATTAACACAACCCTGTAAAGATAAATGTAAACTCAAAACCTGATTATGCGCTTTAGTCATTTTTCTTTATACCTCTATAAGTTTTCTGGTACACATCAGGTTATAAAATCAACACTGAAAACTAATCACCTTACAAAGTTGTTAACATCTTGGCAAACGCTTGTTTATCCATCAAACACACGGCTACACTGGCATTCATTTGGAGTGTGCGCTCGTCCAACAAATCGGAGTTTGAAAACTCCATCTCCTTTTAGCTCTGTTTTGCTTCTCAAACTCCTGAGGGGAATAGCTGGCTTTCAGTAGGAAGTGCTGGTTGCTCGGAGTCTTCATCTTCTGTTTGGCGCTTGGCAGGTAGCTCACCATTGCTTCTTTCAAAGAGTTATCTTTGTCACCATATGCTGAGGCTCCAAATAAACCGCATAAAAGTGGTAACAATGAAACCAAACGGTTCTGTGCTACATAGATGAAAATTATCTGCTGCTTTTCCACCAACTGAGACATCTTTCATTTTATGCGCAACGATTTTATTTACCGTTTATATAAAAATAAAAACAAATATGATTTGTTCTGTTTTTTCCACACCAACAAATAAATCTGTGCTCTTAACGGAGACAAACTGTGGTCAAAAGTGATTAAATAAATAGACATTTTAAGCACGTTTACAGTGTTTGAAAATCAAATGCATATCTTCTTCTACTTCTTTCGGCTTTTCCCTCTTCAGGGGTCACCACAGTGAGTCATCCTCCTCTGTCTCACTCTGTCCTCTGCATCCTCTGTTCTCACTCCAACTACCTCCATGCCCTCTCTACCTGCATCCATATATCTCCTCGTTAGCCTTCCTCTTTACCTTTTTTTGAAAAAATATATTTTGGGGGGAAATCAAATGCATATACTTTAAGCTGGTTGGTTCCCAACACAGGTCCTTGAGGAACACCATCCTGCATGTTTTAGCTGTTTCCCTGCTTTGACACATCTGATTTAAATAAACGGACAATTAATGGGCTTCTGCAAAACATGATGAAGTAATTAAATCACTGATCAGGTGTGTTGGAGCAGAGAAACAACTAAAACATGCAGGATGGTGTTCCTCAAGGACCTGTGTTGGGAACCACTGCTTTAAGCAAAAAGCTTTGTGTTTAAAGTTTGTACTGACAACCCCTGACAATGTCAATGCATTTTTAACAAGGTTCTTTGAAGTCATATAGTAGAGAAAGTTGTAAGACACTTAGTGAGAGTTTTGAACTCTGAAAACAAATGTGAACTTTATAGACATTTTTAAAAATGTCAATACCATGGCACATTTGCCCCTTCTTTTTTGGATCTATATTTTTCTTTTTTGGCAATCTCATTCTATCTTCTCTTTCATTGTTTCTGCAAAACATTATTTAATTTTGATACCTTGGATATTAACAAATTAATCATGCTCATCTTATGCTTTAAAATGTTACTTTTTGTACATTACTTTATGTTATCCCAGTTTTTACAGATCAGTTTTCTTGCTTTCTCTTTACATCATGAGTAAATAACTCCACTGACACAGCACGTTTCCCGACACAGTGATCTGCATCTCTTGTTCTCTGTATATTAAATGTTACCTTACATCATAAGAGTGTCACAACCTATCTGCGACGAGGCCTGTTCAAGCACAACAGCCATACGTATTTATCTTGTCTTCATTCAAATCGGAGCAGACAGCGCCTGCTCTCTGACACACGCTGAATAAACTCACAATAACTGATGTTGCTGCCTCGCAGAATTTGCTTTACTGAAACGTTCCTCAACAATATTAAATGCTGTTGTGTTTAATGTGATAGATAAATAGTGGTGTTAAACAAAATGCATCCATGTTGTCAGTTTTAGGAGCAAATTCCTAAAATGCCATCCAAATATAGCTGAAGTCGGGCAAAAACCAAAAATGCAAATTAGTAAATTGTCACATCATTAGGGGAATGATGGCGCAGAGGTTAGAGAAGGTGGGCCGGCGATCGGAAGATCGCCGGTTCAACTCCCGGTACCGACAACATCAAAAATGTAGGTAGGATTGGTGAAGCACCCACACTTGTCTCCACCCTCATTTGCTCCACTCTGGACCCTTGAGCAAGGCCCTTAACCCCCACCATCTGCTCCCCTGGAAGCCCTAGATAGCAGCTCTTTGCTCCACACAGAGGACTGTGGAAGCTTGGTGATCTGTGATTGAGTCAGGAAGGACATCTTGTGTAAAAACAATTGCCAAGTCTTCGTGCAAGTTAGTTCGCTGTGGTGACCCCTGAAGAAGGGAGCAGCCGAAAGAGAGATTTTCTTTTTTTTTTTTTTACAGAAACTTTGTTTTTGTGTCCTTGCCTGTGTGATCAGTTAAATATGGATTGTAGTAAACCTCTTCATGCAGTTTAAAACAAGCAACCTTTCTTGTTTTGCTTTCTCCGTTTGTGGTCTAACCCTGGATCTTTTTTTGCTTGCTGTGTGTTTGGTGCCATCTTATAAATGGGAGTTTTGTCATCACACGTACGCTGTCAGTAAACAGTCCAAGCTGCCACAAAAATCTGGGCTACATGTTTGCTTACTGAGGAAACTGGTGACCATTGATGGACTAGTAAAGATGACAGTCAAGCGGATGTGAAACCATAAATTCATGCTACCTAAAAAAATGGAAGAAAGTTTACGTAGCGATGATGCTTGAAACATTGATCGGCGCTAGTTCAACACATGTAGTAGTTTTCTCTTGTAGGCATTACTTATTAAAAACATACTGCTGCAATAAACATAAGATGATTGTTTTACATTTAGTTCAGTTGGTGCAGAAATCTCATCTAATCTTCTCTGCTATCTGCTAATATATTAACTCCTGCATTGATGAATTGCAGAGATTCCTGTTGGGACCTGTACACAGATCCATATTCCTACTTGTCCATTTAGTGGCAATTTTCCACTCCCACTTCCCCTCCATTAGTTTTTTTTCCAGGCAGCTGCATTTCTAACATCCTTCTACCAATATACCCACTGTCCCTCCTCTGGACATGTCCAAACCATCTCAGTCTGCTATATAAATACAAAAGGGACAACCAAAGCCCTTTTATATTTAAATAGCAGTGGGTAAGGACTCGGGTCCATTCATTTTCTGCTGTTGTCCGTGCACTTCACAGCAGAAGACTGTAGCCCTTTGCGATCCATTCTCATAAGAAGTTCTATCAGAACACACGGAGACGTCAGAGCTGTAGTGCATGAGTGGAGAAACTGCAGAAAAAGAACAACGGATGCCATTATACTAAACCTCGTTTCACTATAACTAATTCTTTGGTAATTTTTGTATCCGATGATGGAGGAAAACGTTTTACAGTCATTACCATAATGTTTGCTTGTGTTAAACAGCATCTCTCTGTGCACAAAAAAAATTAAATAAATAAAGGTAAAAGCCACAAACAATCAAATGAGTGTATTTTCCATAATGTTACTTCATCCTACACATACTGTTTTCTTATTTGCTCTTATTGTAAACCTTTCTAACATCATTCACCCAACTGTGCATCCAAACTACAAAATAAATGTAATCCTTCACCGAATGAGGGTAATGAAAGCATAAAGATGAGCGATAATGACAGATCATTACCTTCATCATCCTCCTCTCCATCTCTGTGTTGTTATACACTGACAATGTCCAACAGAGCCTCGGTTGTCACTGAATGGTTGGCAGACATATTGTAACTTTGCTGTTTAACTGATTGTCCATGCTGACCTGTGATTCTGATGACCCAAACCACTCTCTCTGAAACACCTACATTACACAGGCTCATGTGTGGAAAAGACACGCTGCTTACTAGGGCTGAAAAATTAATTGTATTTTCAATAATATTGCAATTTGATAAAACAAGATTTTCTAATCGCAAAGGCTGCAATTTGACTGGTCACATGATCTGGTTACGTGACTTGCGAATGAGAAGATCGGAGCAAAGCAGAGCAGGGAGCGGGAGAAGTCAACACTGTGCTTTGACTGGTTTCACAATGGCGTCAGGCTTGACAGAAGCTGATACATCTGAAAGTTTGGTACCAAAGCGGGGCAGCACGTCCATTGCTTGGAATTATTTTGGCTATAAAGAAAGAAGACGCTGCACAACGACATGTATTGTGCAGAACCTGCCTTGCTGCTGTTGCTACCTCTCGAGGTAACACCACAAATCTTTATCAACACTTAAAAAACACCACAAAGACATTTACGAAAGTTGCATGGCTAGAATGCCAATGACCAGTGTTTCAACTTCAAGTAAGCAAAGTAGCAGCCGACAGGGATCACTGACCGAACTGATCTAAGGTATTACTCCGTATGGACATAATTTGAAACTGCACATGGAAATAACTCGAGCAATGACGGAGTTCATAGCAAAAGACATGA